AACTGGCTGCCAGAGATATACCCCAATTCCATCTGGTGGTAAACCCCTGAACTATTGCAGGCCCAATGTAAACAAAGCAATATTGTGCATTGCGAGAGCTCTGTTTTAGACACGTTATTCAATTTAATCAAACTTCTGCTATTGTTTATATAAATTTTAAAAGCTACTTAACTTTTTACTATTATATTTATTAAACTCATAGGAAGTTTTTTTTATTAAAATACATAAAATGTAAATAATTGCATTTGCCTCTCGCAGGGATGTAAGTGAATTAATACATCCATATGAGAGTATGATATATGTTTTTGTTTAGCGTGCTGGTATCCGTTGCTGGATAAAAATCTCAAATCTCTGAAAAGCTGTGACTCGACTCGCCCGGGTCGAGGAGCGGCTGAAAATTAATAATGATAATTTACAGAAAATAACATAATATACTGTACTTGTATACTGTATCCTCTAGTCTCTAGTCCAATCCCACTCCTGCATTAAATCGGAGACAAATAATAACATATTACAACTGAAGGTAATATAAATTCGGAAGTAAACATATCACGCACATTAGTCGACCTCTTATGTCTCAATGAGATATCCTTTGACTTAGAACAAACATAAATTAATTTTATAATGCAAACTTTTAAACGGAAATTTTCTCTCGATTTAAAAAATAGATAATATTTAACATGAAATCTGATGACAATACGACGTGGTAAAGTAATCCAAATTTCAAAATCCAGAGAGATTTGAGTTTACAAATTGGATAAAAAAATATTTTATTTAATTTAATCAACATAATCATAATGGAGGGACTTATCCAATATCTAGAAATAACTTATCGTCTAATATATCCTTGTTTTGTTTTCTAGACACTGTAGGCACAGACAATGGTCTATGCTGTGGGTGTTTGGATCTAGTATAGGGTGATGCTCAACACATAGTACTACGTAGGACCTTATTGATATTACTAATCAAATAGATTACGTTATTATTACGCATCAAATTTACCTAATTAATATCTTTGTCGTCCAACTTCAAAGTCTCAAAATAATGTATTGCTTCCTAACGTTTTACTACCTTCTGTAGATGTTGTGTGCTAAGTTTGTTTTTAAAACTACAAATTACTGTATAGGCCTACATTTCGAGCGATTTATATTGCTTTAGATCCTATTAAAATTAATTGGACAATTACATTCTATTTATATGTAGGCTATTGCTATTGCTCTTATATTAACACTCCATAGACGTGTACTTACTCAATTAAATAGTCCAACGTAGCCGTGTATATCCACACATTTGACGTGACGTGACAATCTCTTACTTTTGAGCCTTGAGAGGTTAAGTTTCGGCGTTTTTCGGATCCCATGTCTTCCGGGTTGAACAATCTTCTTAGGAGATGACAGATCCATTTGTTTATACCAAGAAGTTACCTTATTATAAGTATATTTACTAAACTAGATTTCGTTTAGACTGAGTGCATTGATTGAATTAATATAAATGCAATTTTCAATATCCATGGTAACAAAAATAAATCTATTGTATGAAAAACTATGACGAAAGTGATAAACAAAGATATATTTAGGTTTATGAATTAGTAATTCAGTATTTTTTACTACCTAATTTGAAAACAGTCCATAATTAATTTAAAATCGTAGTTAAAATCTAAAAATGTCTGTAGAGACTAATTTTGCAACTATGTTTACCAAAGTGGTGTAAAACAAAACTTTAGCATCTCCTCGAGTCCTCTTTCAATTGATTCTATATCCCGTGATGATAGGTTGTATAGTTTTTCATTTATAGAGTTTTAAAAGTATATCAATCATTTAGAATAGAACTTGTTATCATTATCGAGTTATTTTATCACAATCGGATTTTCTCGAAAACGATTCAAATGATTTTGATAAAATTCAGTACAGTACGTTATAGTCCTTTACATTCCAAACAAAATGGTACAAATTCCATTTCCGTTAAAGTTACGTTTCCAAAGTTATTGCAACTTAAGTTTTTTTTTCCATAAAAACCCCATAAAAACAAAAAATTGGATTTTAGAAAATGGCCTGTTTTGATAAAAATTCGTATGTTATGGTCCTTAAAATTTGAAAAAAATTGTACCAATTCCATTTCCGTAAAAAGTAAAAGTGATTGTAACTTGTGTTATTTCCCATATAAACCCCATACATTAACAAAACATAGGATTTTAGGAAAAAAGCCGGTTTCGATTAAAATTAATGTTTTATGGTCTACTCTAGTCTAACTCTAAACAAAAATAGTGCAACTCCCCATTGCTGTAACAATTACGGTTCAAAAGTTATTGCAACTTTTGTGATTCATCCCTATAAAATATCATAGTTTCCCATAGTTTACCCATAGAATAAAGGTTGTTTACAAGCTTATGGGATAAAGTATGTGTCAGTTTGCTGATACCGCTATTTAAATAGGAAAAAATCTGAAATTTTGAGGAATATTGTAGTGAATATAAATTTAATTATTTATTACATGTGAAATACCTAATCAATTTTACTGAGCATTTATTCTTGTACTAGCAGGGTACCCGTCCTTCGTACAAGGTTGGCAAATAAGTATACAGTGCATATTGCAGTTATACTCAAGCTTTGCTTTTGTAATGGGGAAAGACACAATTTGGTAAAATTTAATTTGTTTCTTTAAATTTACGGTATACTATAGTATAACACATCTACCATAGCCATAATGTTCTATCACTGCATAAATCATAGAAAAGGAATCGATCATCAAATATTTTCTGAAAATCACAAATTATTCTTTAAATTTAAACATAGACATAACTGTAAAAAATCCTACTTTGACAGTTAATATTGAGTATCACAGCTTTTTGTTGCTGCTTAGTTCAAAATAGCTGATGTCATAAATGCAAAAAGAATATTAGTGCTGCACCCTGTTGGTAAACCTTATAACTTTTTAATGCCATTGCATATCATAGAACCAACATAAACAGCTGACTAAATTCTTTAATTCCTTGTAAATATGAATACTACTCATACATGGGGAACAACAGAGCCACTGGGGCGGAGCCCGGAAGGATTTTTGAGATAAGAATATGCCTATATGTTAATCGGGAATGTGATCTATCATCATGTCAAATTTCAGCCCAATCCGTCCAGTGGTTATTGCGTGATTGAACTTCAAACAAACAAACAAATTTTAAACAAAGACACAAAATTTCACATTTATAATGTTAGTATGATTTTACACAAAATAGGTAACCGTTTTACAAAAACACAACACAATTCCTTATTCAGTGTGACTACAATCGTGATCAGTTTTATTCAATCCCCTTTGGATTCCTAAGGGATGAATTTGGCAGTCATGAATGTTTAGCATATTTTAATCTTTTGTCGTTCCAATGTTGGCCGCCCTGCTTGCTCCATTGTTATGCGTATTACATATGACAGCTGTCTACTCAATTCAACTACTCCTCTTTGGGTTTCGTGTTTGTGTTTTATTTGTTTAGTTATTGCATGAAACCAGGTTGTGTTGCCTTAGGGTTTCTCCACAAGGTAGTTTGTTTTATCGTTGACAATAACAATAACACTACGTCCGTCCCTTATTCAAAGTAATAACAATATTTTTTAGATTATTGTTAGCAAATCAACCACTAAACCATTTCTTATATATTTTAGTAAATAATAATTCTCTCGCTGGGAGGGGGACACAGGATATATCTCATTCATAAATTTTTTACTAAATTAAAAGATACAATTTTATGAGAAATGAATTCAAAACCATAATTTGGTAAACATTAACAAACTTAATGTAGGTTTTCATTTGAATAAGCCCCACAACATACATTATTATAGTCAAACAAAATGTAAATCTTTATATTATTAATTTAGTTGATTACTCAGCACACAGAAAACGCAAATAGATGGATGGTTGTACTCGTAATTTTTTTCTCAAATCTTATATTTTTAACCTTTAGGGGTTTTCTTTTTTTAAGAAATAATCTGCACTGCATTACATAATACAGTTTTGTGTTACACTTTTACCACAGACAATATAATACTCTAATGGTTTATTCCATTGTCTGTGCGTTTACACTGTAAGAGTTAGACATGGTATTATGCAGTGTCAAATAAAGACAAGAAGTCCTTCTTTATTTGAATAAATCCCCCATAATCCTCAAAAGTGATCAAGACAGACATTTTCTTTTCATTCATAGTACAAGGGAAATTAAATCAAAATGTCCATGCTATCCAATTATAAGAGGGGTAAAACTAGATTAAAGTTCCGGAAAGTTAAAGTGGTAAATTACATTTCTAAAGGTACAAAACATAGAAACTTCATCATTTTCATAGACGGCGTTTTCTCCAAAGTGCTATTTATGGACACAATTTAGCCAAAGATCATACAATAATAATCGAGCAGATCAGAACATGCAAAAACTGTTCCCGGGGGAGTGCTTGGGCCAGACTGGAGCAATGAAATGTTTTCTTGCATCTATTATTGAAGTCGAGAGTCTGCGAGAGTCATTCAATCATCCAAGATCCAATCCGGTATTTCTGCATAATTTAGGGTAATTTTTGAACTCGGGACTAAATTTTGTGTGATAAACAGTGATGTTTTAGGTTTAGGTTTCACATTAAACTTTCCTTCTTTTAACCTGGTTTTTTGGGATTGAAAGTGTCTACCTATTGATATATAATACAGGATGGGGCAATGAGGGCACCCTAATTTTCATTTTGCTGTCACATGACAAACATTGGGACAACGAATGAAAAGCTATGTTTAGGCTATAACATCAATAATTAAACCATGTTATTTTAGAAAAAATTGAGCTATTCGCTTTTCAAAGTTTTTACTTCAGTAACCACACATCAAACACATTTTGTTGACCAAAAATGTTTATAAAATCTGATAGTAGAAATAGATAGACACAAACAAAATCAAATCAACCTCGACATTTTCGAAAACAACTTGTTCTTCAAACTAACTTGAATAATTGAGGGAAAAGAGGTTTTAAAAATTACTCATCTGTAAAAAAACTTATTTAATACTTATAAAACATAAAAAGTTCAGTTCACTCAAACTTGATGCCCTGAGCGAGAGGCAGTGTTTTTCCATGGTTGATGGTGATGGTGGATCTCCTCATGTACTGTTTCCAGGAGTCTGAACCGCTCTCCCTACCCCCGCCTGTGTGCTTCTCACCCCCGAAGGCCCCACCTATCTCTGCCCCGCTTGTGGGGATGTTCACATTGACGATGCCACAGTCCGAGCCTTTAGGCCCGATCCACTGAAAATGTTTAGCGATTAAAAAATTTCTGGTTTGAAATGGTTTTGATGTAATTTACATTTGGTAAATAGTCTAAGGAATCAATGATAAATAGTCAGAGCATAAGAGACCCTCATATAAGTAGATCAAGCAAAACTCAGACCAGTAGCCTATATTCTTAACTATTATGGAAAAATCAACAAATGTCGGGAATTAAATTTAAAACAACCAATAAATTAGTTAAAAACTTTGAAAAGTGCAGCTACACTAAATTACTGGTATTAACTATTTTGTAGAAGAATATATTTAACTCAGCAAGAAATACAAATATTGATTAAAAGATTCTATACACATTTCTACTTTGAAATCTTCAAAACCAGACCCACCTAGAATCTTGAGACTGAATTTACCATTTAGGAAACTACCATTTAATAGTTATTTTAGAATGTGACAAAAAAGCTGAAGTACCTTGAACAGATTGCCGATATCTTGTGTGAAGATGCTAGAGGATAGACCCTGCTTAACCTCGTTGTTCCAAGCGATGGCCTCCTCTACGCTAGAAGCTCGCAGGACGTACACGATGGGAGCGAATGTCTCTGTATGAACAACATCAGCGTCGTGAGGCAATCCACTGATGATGGTCGGCTCTACAAAGTACCCTGGTCGATCCAACACCTACGAAACACAATGATTTAATTATGTTTAAAGTGCATTTGTTACTTTGCCAAAGGATGAACCCGATGGAAGCAAATGTCTTTGTTTGAATGACATCAGAACACGATGTGAGCAAATGTCTTTGTTCGAATGACATCAAAACACGATGGGAGCAAATGTATTTGTTCGAATGACAAAAAACACGATGGGAGCAAATGTCTTTGTTTGAATTACATCAGAACACGATGGGAGCGAATATCTTTGTTTGAATGACATCAGATCACGATGGGAGCAAATGTCTTTGTTTGAATGACATCAGAACACAATGGAAGCGAATGTCTTTGTTTGAATGACTCGTGAGGCAGTCCACTGATGATGATCTACAAAATACCCTGGTCGATCCAACACCTAAGAAACACAATGATTTCATGATGTTTGTAGCAAATTTGATAAACACCCAGGGAAATATAAGCTGGTAATGTGTTCCCCAATAGGAATCCATTGATTTGAATTTATTTCAATTTAGTTATTTATGTATAGGTAGTTGAATGGTTATAGTGATTGTCTTTAAATCTGAAGGTCGCTGGTTCAAGTCAGAGTCACACTAGAGCGAGTTCAGCCCTCTCAGTAAGTGTGTGTGAGTGACAGTCCCAGTGACAGCAATAGTGACACATTCTGTATCCAGTAAGTTAGCTGTAACTAGAAATATAGCAAATTGGGATAATCTTGGCTTCTGATCAGGGCCGATTTACCGAATAGGCACGGTAGGCACGTGCCTAGGGCGCGAGGCAATTGGCTTTTTTGGGGGGCGCCAAAAATTTGGAAAAAAAGGTGGTGGTTGTTTTCATGCGATTGCGGTAAACTTCTGATAATCCCTCGCAGACATCGTAATCGTCTCCCGCGTTTGCGGCGAGATTCTTACTATTTTCAGCGGTCAGGTCGTTTAGACATAATTATCGTCTTCCATGATCGAAGCAATATATGAGCATATCCCGCGGTCGTGAGGAGATTATCATCGTCTACCGCGAATGAGGCAAAATTCTGATCTTTTCCCGCGGTCGTAAGGACATTATCTTCGTCTTGCGCGATCGTGGCATAATTCCGATCGTCCCTCGCGGCCGTGTAAATCATTATTGTATCTCCCGCGATCCTGTAGACATCGTAACCGTCTCCCGCGGTCGTGTATACATGGTAATCGTCTCCCACGATTGCAGCAAAATGTTAATCATGTTCCGCAGTTGTGTGGAGATCATCATCGTCTTCCGTGATCGCGGTAAAATTCTTGCTGTTTCGCGCGGTCGTGTGGACATTATCATCGTCTTCCGTGATCGTGGCCATATTCTGAATATCTCGCGGCCGAGTGTAGACATATTATAGTCTCCTGAGGTCACTGCTGTCATGCGCGATCACGGTAATTTGAAAACTCCAGGTAGAAATACAAAATTCACACATAATTCCCGGTTCATAAAATTTCCGCATGATTCCCGGATTTCTCGGTCGGTGGACACCCTTATGTATATATTGCAAAGGGGCGCTACTATTAGTTGTGCCTAGGGCGCTAACAGGGTCAAAAACGGGCCTGCTTCTGATAGGTTTAGTTAGGTGATTATTACTCTTGTAATTCAAGTACAATAGTGTGAATAAAGTAGTTATTGTTAAATCGCTATTGTTTTATTATCTAGTGCCCATAAGCATGCAAAAGTATCCTTGATTTGAAAAAAAAAATACTATTTTTTGTGTCAAAAGATAGCAACAAGAAAATATAAAACAATCATTGAAGTATGTTCTCATTGAGTACCAAACTGACTACGACTGCTTATCTATATTGATGGGATTTCTATGTTAATATCCAAAGTCAATGGTATTACCTTTCCACCAAACTCGACTTTTCCGCCAGCCTTCACAGCATTGTCAACAGTCTCCCGATACCTCTTCACAGAGTCCTCGGAATGTAATGGTCCGTAGAGAGTGTTCTCGTCTAGCGGGTCTCCGATTCTCGTCAATACTTTCTCATAAGCCTTGATAAGTCTTGGCAATATAGCATCATACACCTGTAATGGAAGAATAGGGTTAAAAATTATTTTAAATACTCCCGCCATGGCAAATCTGCAAACTAAAGGAATTTCAATTTTTCTGTTTACATTTTTTCACAAATATTTCCGTCAGATTTATTTCCTATTTAAACAATATTAGATTTAATGAGTACTTAAGTTTGCTGCTACAGGAAAGGAAAGTGTGTGTTTTGTTAAAGCGTTTCAATACATTGTTGAAGCAGATAAATTCTTTGTTGAAGGGCTTCAAAATGTTATTGAAGTGGTTGACGAGTGGAACCACAGAAAGCATCTCAGAATGCAAATTCATACTTTGTGGAAGCTTCAGTTTTCTTTTAGAACATTTTTAGAACTGGGGTGTACACCAACTAAAATAGGAGTGATGAAGTATGTTAGTGGTTGAAACACGATGTAGGTCTTAGACTTGATTTAGCTAGTTCGGCTACGGACCTTATTTTCAAAAAACCCTCAAACATACACTAAGAATATTAAACCAAAGTACCTTGTGGTGCATTATGAGTCTTCTGGTAGTAGTACATCTCTGACCAGCAGTCCCACAACAAGCAAACACTACAGACTGAGCTACCATGTCTAGGTTGGCGTCCTCTGCTACAATGATGGCGTTGTTACCTCCCAGCTCTAGCAGTGGCTTACCAAACCTCTCTTGTACCTTCACTCCTACCTGTAAACAATAACTTGTGATGCATTATGAGTCTCCTGGTAGTAGTACATCTCTGACCAGCAGTTCCACAACAGGCAAACACTACAGACTGAGCTACCATGTCTAGGTTGGCGTCCTCTGCTACTATGATCGCGTTGTTGCCTCCCAGCTCTAGCAGTGGCTTACCAAACCTCTCTTGTACCTTAACTCCCACCTGTATAAAGATTGGGCTTTAGTCAAACAAAATCTAAGGACATAATAAGTTAATCCCTCATGTGACTACTCTATTGGCTATTTGTATTACTCGTATAATTTAAGATGGTGATGTGACAAGTATATTCGTCAAATTAGTGCGTCAACAGTGCAATGCCCTTACCAAATGAATCAAATCTTGTATTTTTGTGGGACACATACCTTATTTTTCAGTTGAAGGGACACTACGTACAAAAATAACATTTTAAAATTTCACATGATCACTTCAATGGAAAAATGTTACCTACCTCTTGGTCCGACACCTCAGTACCTAAAAGTTAGGACTAAAAATGCATGAGGTGGCAAGTATGACAAGTAGCCTCCAAAATCCAATCTATCCTAATTTCTAACCAAACTATCCTTACAAGATTGAATCAATCATATTATTGTAACAAATCAAACTGAGGAATTTGACACCTACCCAAACAACAATTTAACGTAAAGAACAAATTAACAATTAGTAGGTTCACAACTGTTGCACTTTCACTCCCAAACTACATCTGTACCCCAATATTCCTTACCTTCTGTCCAACGGCAGTACTGCCAGTGAACGACAACAATGGTAGTCTGGTATCCGTGGCCATCGCTTCTCCAATATCAGATCCTCCACACACCAATGAGCACACAGCTCCTGGGATATGGTTCTTTTCCAATACCTCGGATACTACCTTGGTAGTAGCCACGGATACTAGGGGAGTGGTGGGCGCTCCTTTCCACAACACGGTGTCACCACAAACCTAGACAGGTTGAAATGTTATTCAATGCCGTCAATTCCACCACTGGTGTTTCTTTGTAATCACATCAACCAAACAGCCATAATTGCTGAATCTGCCCAACAGCATGAAAATATTTTTTTACTAGCATAAGGTTGTGAGAAGCAATTCTCAAGGTTGTTACTTTAAAAAAAATAGTCGCTCACTTTGTTAGCACCACTTATCAGACATCAAAACAAATTAAACCTTTTGCTTGTGTGTAAAAAGTGTGCTCTTTGCCAATTTCCCTGACCATTCAAGCATCATTGTTTTTTAAGCAGTACTGGTTAACAGAGCAGCTAGGACACCCAAGGAAATTCAACATAACTTAGCCATAGTCAGGACAGCTAGCCGCACAATAGATAAAGATACAGTATTTTATTTTGCAAATGGTTAAGCTGGGTTTTCCTTGGTCAAAAGCAAAGCACGGAAAGCGGAGTTTGTTCTCCTCTCGTCTTAGGTAATTTAGGGGTACTGTTTTTATAGAAACAAAGGGGCTTGCCAACAACAAACAACAAGCAACAACAACAAGCGGAAAATCGCATCCTCACACTCCGCTATCCATGCCTAGGAAAACCCAGCTTTACAATGAAATGTCATGTATACCATAGCGATAGCGCTGTTCCAGCCGTAGACCGCTATAGGGAAGTTGAATGCACTGATGACTCCGACCACTCCCAGAGGGTTCCACTGCTCCAGTAGAACATGTCCGGGTCGCTCCGATGGGATGATAGACCCACTGAACATTCGGGACAGTCCGACCGCATAATCACAGATGTCTACGTACTCCTGCACCTCCCCGATACCTTCCGGAAGGATCTTTCCTGCAGGATAACACTGCTTGAGTTGACATTTTGAATTTCATGATATTAAAATAAGTACTTCTTAAACTTTTTAAGGGTAATTTAAATTAATGCTTCAAGCATCGATGGTTTGATTCCAAGTAAGATTGATTCTTAACACAGATGTTATTTGTTTCTTTGATTAATGGTGTTATTCAACAAACAAGCAACAAGAACAGGGCTTGGATCATTACCTTACAAACACTTAAACATTCTAACTGTGCAAGCACAAGTTCTATAAAATCCAATAAACCTAAATAAAAACTAGAGTTTATAATGTCTATGATAATAATTGTGAGACTAAGACTTTTGGTTCAGTACACTGAAATAGATATCCCATCTATGGACCAATAGTCAGTTTTGTACTGGTTTAATGGTTTCTCTCAGAGTGTAGAATTTTTGTTTTTATAACATGAGAAAAAAAACATTTTAAAAATAGGCATGACAAAACAATAAACAATCACTAGAGCTTATAGGATTAATTAGTTAAACAAAACAAAACTTTTGAAATCACTGAAGATATTTTTACCTACCCATCTCCAAAGACACAAGTTTTCCGAGTGGTACAAGTTTTTCCCTCAGCGCGTCTCCAATCTGTCTTACAATCTCGCCTCGCTTAGGAGCCGGCAGTTCGACCCACTGTTGCCACGACCCCTGACAAGCCTTAACTGTGTCTTCATAGTCTGTTAGGTTGCCTTCCTGCACGGCTGCTATGACTTGACCATTGGCCGGACAGACTGACTCAACCACCTGCCAAACATAAATTTAAAGCACAGGTCATACTAGGCTGGCATCAGCGGCGAATTGAAAGAACTGTCAGCTTAATGTGACCACTAAATTTGCAGCTGACACCGCCAGCCAGCGAGCATTTGTCAGCGGCTGGCGAAGTCGAACGTGTACAACTTTTGGTAGCGAGGTAGCGACAGCTAGAGATCACGTGATCACTCGAACTCGCTGACACCAGCCAGCAGCATAGTCTGACCACCTCTAGAAGCGTAGTCTGACCATCTCTGGAAGTGTGTCAGCGGCGACCAAAGAAAATGTTCAACTTGGTTTTACACAAAAGCACCTGTCTCATTTTTTCAATTAGAGGTTTAACTAATTCTAGCAGTTCCTGGAATGTATGCAGTGACATTCGTAAAACATTTTTGTATGTTTCCGATTCATCTTCTTTTATTTTGCAGCCGGTTTGAATAAGCTCATAACTAACTGTTACATTTTTTGTATCCAAGGCCTGTTCCACTAACGCCTCTTTTTGCGGCTAAGCATCTTTAAATAATAGTTATTTGTGCAACTAGTGAGAAAAGTGAGCAATTGACTCACTCGAGAGAAATCCTTACTCACGAGCCGTAGGCAAGTGAGGAATGGTTTCTCGAGTGAGGCAATTGTACTTTGCACTCGAGTTGCACATTATATTTTTCCTACAGTTACCATAAAACAAATAAATTGGCGAAGAAACGTAACATATTTTTACACAGAAGCGTACTTTTAATATAACATTTAATGTGAAGTGACAAATACAACAGTACAACAGCTGACCAGCTGATTTACAGCCAGTGCTGCCAACGTATTTCGCGCGCATACGACGTTGTCTGCATGTTGCGCGCTCACTATTTTGTGCCTACACGTTGCAAATCTGGAGTGAGACAATGTTAACACATTGACAACTGATGAGCGAATTGGCCACTTTGCTTTCTCAAATCAGTGAGAGAACATGTACATTGTTAGGTAACTGTAGGAAAAGTTCTTTTTCTTTCACGTATCATCAATATTAGATTAAGTACTGGTTTATGAGGACGAGGACCCAAGGACGAAATAGCGACAAGAATTGAGCTTTAAACTAGGCGATTAAAAGTATTAATTTGTAGCGTAGAAATGACTTAAGTCCGTCTTAAGTGACTTACAAAATGACCTTAAGTGGTCGGGGAAGCAGGGAAAAATACCAGCTCACTATCTGGTTTAAACATATAGATTTACTACTTTGTCCACAACTCAATATTTTTATAAATTAAAATATTATCTATTAAATACATCTTACCTTCCCGTTAGCTTTCCAACGGCCATTATAAACTCCAAGGTTCACTTTATCCAACCCGAGCTCTTTCAAAAAACCATACTTGGGATCATCAATCAAGTATTTGGCCTGAGACGACATTCTCCGTGAAACCACCCTTAAGTACATCTTCTCACTCTCACTAGTCACTGAGTAGTGTCTTCTTATCTCAACTTTCGGGTTATCATAGCTGACTTGTCAAGACTTAGTTCAATAATTAGATAATCCCATGAACTTCAGAAAACATTGATAAAACTGAAGAAAATATCAATTGGTAATTATTGACTAAAACTTATAGAAATTTAATGATAAGTGTGATTAAATAGGCATGTCTTTCCCATAATAAATTGGTTCTTATTTTTGGACTTGAATAATAGACTGATAGTACTAAGTAACTAGATTATCTTATTTGAGGGTGATAAAATTAAAATAAAGTGATTTTTTCATCACTCTGTATACAGAAATAGGTAAATTTTGTATAGCTGAACTATAAAAGAATCGTTGATTTTCTATGTATCAAAAAATATGATTTTGTCTAATATACAGGGTTTTCATAAAACAATGGTGGGGTTTAGTTCTGAAATAAAGAGATTTGAGAAAAGCTATTTACTGTATAACTATTTATTTTGTTGGATTCCTAACATAAAAAATTTTATATACATAGCTAATGAGCTTAAACATGACAACCATTTCTTGCTCTATAGACGTCCGGGCAATGATCTATTTCAGCCTACACGTCCAACATTTCTCTTGTTACAATCTCTGGTTATTCTAGTAGATATGCCTGATTTCGAGTTTTTTTTAAGAATAAACTAAGTTTTTGACATCTTAAGTGGCTGTTATACTAGAGTCAATGACTCTAGTTCACATAGTTACACACTTAGCCTTTTCTTGACTGAAAACATGTTTATAGGAAAATACAACTTGAAGACTATTTAAAAGAGTAAGTAGGTTGTCGATTAGCACAATCAAATTTCAAACGCAGCAAACAGCTTTTATGGTATGATAATTAAACACCCGTAACACCCCTTCACAGTAAATATGTTTCATCTAACTAAATAAAAAGAAAAAAGGATACAAGAAAAATCAAGTAATAACTTTTGTAAATCTTTATTGTTATTATATTCATCCATATACATAAACTAAAAATCACTATAACATTTATATTTATTTTTTCACAAACCATAGTTAAATCGTATAAATAATTACCAAATATAGAATGTATAAAGAAAACAGGAATAAACATTATTTACTATCTTTTAAATATTTAAAATAAAATATTCAAATGATTAACAGTTTACTATTATTAATAGTATTTGAGCGACCGAGTTATACATTGTGAGTATATTTTTGTATTATTTTTGTCTTTTGTTATTTAACATACTAAATCTACTAGTTAGACGTAAATTCAGTTAATAAATAAATATAGTTGACCTGAGTATTAAAGTATAAAATATTTACATCAGTGCTTGGTTGATATAAGTGACTTATGAGACACTTGAATTTACCTACAGTCTTTTAAATGTTGATCTCATATCTATAAACCCAATGTTGAGTTTATATCTATAAACTATTTATAAAGCGAATAGATACTTAACAAATAACTCATGTCTTTTTTGCTTAATTAATACTAGTGGAAGATACATATATCACACTACGTGGCAAGAATAAACCTGACCGTGGAAAATAACGCTAAAAAGGAACAAAGAAGAACACACAATAAACATGTACACATAAGCTAAGTATGTACAAAAAGGTAGACACATAATAGTACATAATATCAGTAAGCTGCACAGATTTACTAAAAAAACTTAGTAAGATAGTAATACAGACTCTTGCTGTTAAAAAACATGTTATGGCTCTGCCTTCAGTAACAAACAGTTGGTTTTAATTGTTTGTAAAAACTGTAACAAAATGAAATAATCTTGAATTATTTGTAATTGTACTTAACTACTTCAGATCAGTCACAAAATAACCGGAAAAGTAGCCTTATGTTTAAAGGTGAAATAAAAGTAAATCCTTTATAATTTTTAATGAATCTAGTATAGTTTGAGTACTAGTATAGTTTGAAGGAAGTTTTCTTGGATAGAATAAGGAACATTCAAATATAAGGGAGATTCAATCATAAATTACTGTACGGTATTTTAAATGTATACATTTTACAATCAATTTCTTGGTTTTTTAAATAAGCATTTGAAACTTATGTTTTCTGAGGTAGTATAATGATGTTTGAATGTTACACATATGATCAACAAGTTTTTCAAATGTGCCGTTGAAATTAAGTTAACAATATACATACCCAACCCGAAAAAAAATTAAAACATATTTTGACCACAGTGATATAAGACTTAGATCACCCAAAATATGAATATTAACAAAAAATCCTATATTGCTCAGTCAAAAAGACACAAAAAACAACAAACTTTCTAAAATAGCTGCTGCATTCAAACATTCAAACGTTCAGATCAAATCAAAACTGATTACCTATATAATCAGTGCTCGATTTACTGCAAAATGGCTTTCCGGTACCCCACTTTCAGACGGATAAAAATATTAGCATAAATAGTTACTAATCATAGGTAACAGTTCCGGCACTACAAATCGAGCACTGAATATAGCAATAGCAGTTATTTATTAAAATAAATACAACCAAACCTGAGAAGTTCTTACAACTATTAATGTAGTTAACAAATCAACAATGCTTTTCAACGTATTGAAGAAAATATTTTAGGATGGACATAATATATTAATACTGATAAATCAGCCTTACAAGTGATGTAAACAAACATTTAATCCCTATGGCAAGTTTGATTAAATAGTAGACTCTAAATGACAAGGTCCTCAAACAATAGTCAGTAGGGCATAGAATAATAATCCTTAACTTAAAGTCATTTGATATTTGTTTGGTATTTTTTAAGGATTGTAGCGTGTGATACTAGAGGCGGGCTTTATTTAATGGAATAGGATTAATTTAACTATTACTGAAGCGTCACCTATTACCAATAGATTACTGAGAATAACCTATTATTTTAGTAACGTAATCTGAACTGTTTAAACAAATGAAATAACTATTCCGCTGATCATTAAGGTTTCCATTAACAGTGAGCATCACGAAATAGTGGTAACCTACCTTAGAAATATACTATTGAAAATTTGCTTATTTTTGTAACGTAGTCTGAACTGTTAGAACGAGAGAACGAGAGAGTGAAAAAACGCTGATCGTGTCTTCCTATTAACGGCAAGCACCAAAAAAATTAAACCTTGGTAAGACGATAATTTTTATTGTCTTCCGAAATGTTAAAACGAGTAGCTTAAATAGCACTGATCGTGTCTTCCTATTAGCAACAACCGGCTGAAAAGTCCTTGACATGAAATAATTAGATGTAAAAAATAATAGTACTATTTTACCTATTACTGAAAAGCTACGGAACATACCTGACTATTATATTGCAAAGTAAAGGTATTCCCCATCTCTATTTGATACCAGTAATGCTATTGGACAGTACGGTAAAACCCCACCGAAGGTTTAAATGTTGCCCATGAGCTATAATTGTGTGAGAAGGTAACAACAATGAATAAGAACAATCACTTCATTTTAAAAATTTTCCTTTTGTTTTGAATTGTATTGTTTGATACGTGTAATGCCATTGGACATTATTAATAGAACGATGCACACTTCAAAATGTCGCCTGTAACTTAAAATTTATTGAGAGAGCCAAAAGACAGTTAGTTGTCTGGAAGAATCAGTTTTCTTATGTAAAATATAGATTTTTAGTTTTTCATGGAATTGTACAGTTTGATAGTTGTATTGCTATAAAACCAGAAACCAACCTAGGGCTGGTTTAGTAAATATTTGACTAAGGTTTTTTGGTTTGTTGGGGGCACAAAGAAGAGAAAATTCCTTCGCGAGGAAGGGCACAGCAACTATCTGTTAGGTCCATGGTGTGTCACATTCAAACCTTGAGCCTGAATCAATGATAGTTGAAAGAATCTACAAAACAACCTAACAGTTTGAGTTCTAAAACACTTAGAAATCTCAAAGCACTCCTTGTGCAGCCAATTCCTCCAAGCACCTATCAAGGAACGCCGGGTCAAACCTGGAATGAGGCTCAGTTTTGTGGTGAATGTCGTTCCACGTGACGACATCCTCTCTGCCAGTAGTGACGGAACGTCCAATGGTGAACGTCAGCCTACGCTGGAACGCCACTCTCAGCAGGTGTAGCACTCTTCGTCCCTTCTCTGTATCCGGCAGGTAGCATACCCTCGGGAACCCCACGGCGTAGTACGGCCGACCTGGATTGGGATGCTCTGGTCCTTGGATACCGGAGACTATGCTGCAATAGAAAAATATAAAGTTTAATAAAAGTAGGTTTAACATACAATCTTTCACTAATGATATAAACTAGACATTCCATCACCATGTTAAAGTTATTGTTTTGTAATAAAAATGAACGTAGTTTAGTTGAAGTGGGTTACTGTCAGATTGCACTGATATAAATTAATTACTGATTTCTGCCAAATAACCAAGTGAAACTCATAGCTTTTTGTAGGCAATTGCATATTTAAGCCTTTTTAACTATCTCAGTTCCAAAAAATAAGGTAGAAAATAGAATTTTAGACACTAGCACATTATGTGATTGGCTCAAACAACTATGTTCTTTTCAAAAAATAAATTGGCGACAGCTGGTCCATATAGATGGGACGTTTTCTTCGGTATCCCAAAGTACATTAAAATTATGGAGCAATAGGGGGGGGGGGGACAGGATTTTTAACCGTAAAGGTATAAGGCAGGGGGAATGGTCTGTTTATAATGCAATTACGATTAAATTTTTCCAATATTCACCACTTATTGAAAGATTTCTTCCGATCCACTACAAGGAGTGCATATGAATAGTTTTCATTAAATTTGCCATCAACAATATTTTGGATAAAGGTCTTGGAGATTGGTAGTCACAACAAGTAATTCAGAAATTCAAATATTTTCATGAGAATCCAATTTTGAATAAATATTATGAGATAATTCTTTATAGCCTATATTTGCTAGAAAAATTACTTCTACGGAAACATCTTCACAAAGTAGATTCAAAGTACAGTAAAAATCCAACCAATCAAATCACCTATCTGAATTCCTTACAGAAAAAACTACGGTAATAAGAATAATTATTAAAGAAGGCAGAATATTGGCCTAGATTATTTGTCTCTTGGAGTGTGTTTTTTGTTACTCACTGGTATGTAATCTGTATCGTGTGAGTGCCGGGGAAGCCTGGTAGTGAGGTTGGCAACAGTGTTGTGTCCATCGTCCCAGGTGGTTGGTTGCCTCGCTTCTCACCATAGATTGTCATACACACCGGACATTGGATGTATAACCACTGCAACCAACAATACAAAAATTAATATGCTATTCCACAGTGTTGACGTATAATGCATTTGAAAGATCTTCAATAGGCAACTTAACAACAAACAATATATTAAGTTTTTTTAGGATTTTTTGAGAGGATAGCAGGCTTACCTGAATGGGAAAGAGTCCAAACTGGCACAGGAAACACAAAACAAAACTTTACACTTTACAATATTTTTTTTGTTTTGTTTTGTTTTGTGTTGTTTTTGTTTTTTTTGTTTTTTTTTTTGTGTTTCCTGTGCCAGTTTGGACTCTTTCCCATTCAGGTAAGCCTGCTATCCTCTCAAAAATCCTAAAAAATCTAGGCCCTTGTGCTCTATGCTACACCTTTAATATATTAAGTTTGTTCTTTGAATTTACTAAGTTCAGTGAATTTAGCCACAGAGAAGTAAGGCACAAAAGGAACATTCAATGGTACACTTATGTGGTGTCTAGCAATAGTTGGTGTCTACGGCTAAGTCCAAAACCGCCCCACACCTTCATGTACAACAACGCTCAGCAGTGAAGGAAGAGCCTATGCCTTGTGCGATAATAATTTCTGCACTGTAAATATCTACTGTGGTCTTGAAGACATGATTATCATCTTCCACCATTGTGTCTATATTATGAACATCATCATTCATTATCTTCTGTGATCAATACAAAATTCTGAACATCTACTACAATCTTATAGGCATTATCATTATTTTTCACAATCACAGCAAAATACTGGATGTCTCCCGAGGTCTTGCTGACAGCAACATTGTCTTCCATGACTACGGAAACCTTATCATTGTCCCCAGCGATTGTGGAAAAATTTTGTACAACCCTCCTATTGTAAAGACGTAGCAATTCTGTCAAAAATATAGCACCAAAACCAATATACCAAAATTCTCGGTTTTGTTTTTCTTTTCATAAAAACTGTTAAAGTTAAAACATACAACCGAACCATCCCTATTTTCTGCTTTTAATTCGGCCAACATGGATTTTTGCAATTAAGGCTCTGCCACGGTCCTCGATGGTAGGCATATAACCTAATCAGATTCTACAGAATCAGTTAACATTGTTGATTTACAAGGTCACATATTTGAATTTTTTAATATAGTCTCCTATAGTCTAACCTGATGTGAGTTCGGCTGGCTCGTGAGCATGGAGTTGAGGCAGTCGAGGTGTAGCCGATGATGACACCTTGTGAGTGAAACAACCAGCAGATCAGAGTCCAACTCACACAAACACACCGGACACAAACCTTCACACTGGTCTTGTACTACGCACACGTACTGTGATATGCCCTCACTGGCTGCGTCCACTCCTGTACAATGTAATAGATTAGATAAGTCACATAGAGTAGGCCTAAGAAAATGTTAGGTGAGTCTGAAGTAAGTGATTGATGATTGTTAGCTAAATTTATAACTTTTCTAATATGATTGAGCAGTTACTTATGATCTAGCGGGCTGTTAGAAAGCTACAGTTTTATCATTTCAAATTTGGAAACAGCTGATTCTCAATAACAAGACACTTAAGAACAGCTATAGCTTAAACATAGATCCCTTAGTAGATTTGTCATCCTTATGGATCAAGTGAAGACAATTTTATTGTAAGTTCCATCCGGTGCCGCTAGAATTGTGATTTTCCAATTCACTTGTTGTTATTAAAAACCTTGTTCATCCAAATAAACAATCTTATCATAAACAATAACTTGTACCCTTGTTCTATAACAAAACAGTAATAGTGTAAAATTATATATAAGGTTACATTACCTTGATCGCCAAGGATCCTTGTAAGTCCAAAAAATAGGATTACGCGCGTTTCGACGTCAAAGCATCATTGTCAAATCGTACAAAAACTTTCTTCAGACTTCAGAAAGTTTTTGTACGATTTGACAATGACGCTTAGACGTCGAAACACGCGTAATCCTATTTTTTGGACTTACAAGGATCACTTGGCGATCAAGGTAATGTAACCTTATATATAATTTATCATCAGTGATTCAGAAAAACAACATACACCATGAAGTAATAGTGTAGTCATTTTTAATCAAAATATCTCCATTACCTTAAAAAACTCTAATAAGTTTCTAAATTTATTTTCTAAATATTGTATTTTATGGCTGAACAGTTAATGATATCGAAATATTCTTATGACAAAAGTTGTAGATCTTTCTTTGGCAAACATTTTTTAATTTTAATGTTTTTTTATAGGATGAATAGTTTTTGAGTAATTGGGAAAAACTGGTTTTTGGATGCCATTTCCCAAGATGGCGACCATAGCACAAGTTGTTTTTTTTCGAGGACTTTTAGTATGTTTTTCAGGAAGTAAAATTCAATAAATGTACCAAGTTTCACATTTATAAGAGTTTTTTTAGGTTATTTCTCAAATATGACTAGACTATAAAGCAAAAACCGTTAAATTAAACCTAAATAGAAACCAAATGTTGTTGACACTAGCATCCACTATCACCAACATGAACTAGCGATGAAAAACAAGCTTTAGATTTAAAAATGGGATGAAAAGTCTACTTGTGTTGGTACTCTCAGCTTACCAACTATTGCACCTTGCTTCTTATAAACAGTTCCGGGTTCAAACACATCTTCACTGCTACCAGTGCAATCCAACAGGTCAGCCTGAAACAAAAAACACAATGGTCAGACACACAGTTTAACCATTGACTATAGATTCAGACAAGATGTAACCAGTTCCAGAGTTGAAGCTTGATCTCAAGCTAAATCAATGATCAATGATGCGTGATTCAATGATCACAAATGTTGCCGCAACCATAGAGATGGCCAGTGATGCTGCGGTCATTCGTAAAGGGTTGTGAAAATCGGCTATAGATTTTAGATTTTGAATTCTTTCAAAATAGTCACTAAAACACTACTAATGAGAATCAATTTAATACTGATTCTGTATTGTATTTTATAACAATTATTATACTTGGATTTGGGATTGAGTACTCGATTCAATAGGTTTCAAATTTGGAGTCAAAGTTCAAAATGAAACATGGCCATCATAAAAAAAATTACTTATTGGTATCATTGCATTATCAGTCCACAATATAATTTATTTAAATCAAAAGTGACATTTCATTTAAAAACAAAACGAACCCCTAAGGCACAATCATAACCATTCTTTTATTTTGCTGTTTATTTACGCCAGCAGGGAACGTTTATTTGACGTTTTTTTGTAAGGGAATGGTCTAAAACCAGGTCTTGTTACTATCTTAGATAGATTTTTTGATAGTTGATCACCTAATGACAACTGGTAAGTTATCTAGGGTTTGATAACAACCTCGCTTGGAATAAAACTAGCAACCTTCCGATTCGAAGGCCATCACTGTAACCACACCGCTAAGGCTACCCAGACAATCTATACAAATACTGCCCCATATATGTTGTTAACGTATACTATACCCTGGAAGTGCGCATCTCGCTGTCGTGACTCAGGTAGGTAGACACGGTGTCTACGCTCGGCCGTCGTCCGCTCTTGGTGCTGCTAGAATCTGTGTCCAACACACCTGTGTTGCGCTTCTGCTCCTCCACACTTCCTTTGTGGCCTGCAGGAAAAAGGTTTGTCAGTCTTAACATGTGTAACTATGACACTTACATACGATGATAATTGAATAGCTTCGCCAAACAATGATGCAAGTTACAAAAGTGAATATTTTTGGTAATTACACTAAAATATTCTGGCTGCCCTAGTGCCAACATAACCAGTTTCCCACGCCAATTGCTTGTAAACACTGCTAACCTATGTATTTAAAATAATAAATATCCCACACAGTAGGGATTTAATTATCATTTGCATTTGATTTTTTCAAAATCTCAATTTTACAAAATATGTTGTTTGCAACGTTATTCGGTGGAGATATTCGATTACCTCGAATGGCAGGTAGTTTTATGAACCCTTAAAATGTGAACTTTTACCGTTACTAAATATTACCAATTTAGATGAGGATGCTGCTGGGCGTACGGTATTTTATAAACCCAAATATGAGTGAAGGTACAGTGTATAATTAAGTTAGACGCCTTGAGTGGTTTAGTAACGGAATAAGAGCTGAAGATTCTTTAAGAAAAATAATTTATCAAACGCTCAATCATCAAAGACAGCTAGGTCTAGAACCCTCAAAAGCTAAAGAGAGACTTTGCTCAGGCCCTTCCGATAATTAGCCGAGTGCTACAACCACTCAGCTACCAATACACGTTAAACATTAACCTACAGGTTTTCCTTCATCACTCAAAAGTAAAATTTTAGTAGCCTTTATACTTCAAGTGAAGAATTATATTATTATATATAAATACCGTAGCACAAAATGCTCGCAATACATACCAAAAATATTTAAGTTGTTTAGTATTGTCCTTGCAATATTACTAGGCCCTTCTCCTTTCTCATTTTTGGTTTTCTTCACTTGTTTCTTGATGGTGGAATGAGTATTATTTGTATTGCCGTTTGGTTTTTTGCAGCCGTTCCCAGAAACGCCTTTCTCATGATGGTCACCCCTGCGTGACTGTTGGTGTGGATTTTGGCTAGAATTCCTCAAACCTGGGAACATTGGAAGGGTTTAGTAAAATTTAACACTGAACTAGAGTAAGGTAAATTTAACAGGGTTTGAAACCTTGTTTGAAAACAAATGTAATACACAATACCCCCGCCGCAGCAAACCTGCCGTCTAAGCGAATTTCCATTTGGCTGAATTGATTTTCAATTGGTCTATTTAAATAACATTAGGTTTAACGAGTACCTAGGTTTGCTGCTACAAGGAAACTAATAAATAGTGTGTTTTAAGTAAAATAATTATTGCTTAGTATAAAATGAATATATTTGCCAAGTTTGATCAAAAGATATCCATAAACAAGCAAACTACAACATTTTACAATATTCTCCATAAGAATAACATGGGAATTTTAAATTTAAATTTTTTTTGTTTTCTCCGTAACCAATAACCGTACAAAAACACTTTGATATACTGAATTGTTTGTTTTTTTAAGCTCTTTAAGAAGGTTTAGAGAAAAATTGGAAAATTTTGTGTTTTGAGGGTCAAAAGTGAGAAAAACCAATTTTTACCCCATAAAACCCCCCATAAAATCCTGTTCCCATGGTCCGATCATGCTGGATCGCGAACTCATTCAAGTTTATCCCGCCTTACACCTTCAAACCAAATTTCATCAAAATCGGATAAAAATTACTCAAGTTATCGTGTTCACGGACACATATATATATAAATCTATATATATCTATATATATATATATATATATATATATATACATATATAAAAATTTGAACGAATGGTGTTTTTGGCCTCTGGGGACATCAAAATGAAAAAGTAAATCGGTCCCGAGCCTAAGTCTTACCATGAGACCTACGGTAATAGCTACTTCCCTATAGGGAAATTCGCTAAAAGGTGATTTCCATCAAATGTGCAGCATGAGTACTATTGATTAGTGTTTGCTTGGTTTAACTAATTATGCTGAACTATAGCTTGTCACAAGTTTGTACAATCTAAAAAGTCTTCAGAAGAAGACTACAGTAGTTGGTTTGTGTCAAGATGCATGGAGTAAAAGAGGTGGGCCAGACAGAGCGCGCCCCTCTCCCCCCCTCGCCCATCGGACTGAGGCAGTGACGTCACTGCAGTCCTCGAGCCGCTACTCACAGCCCGTACACAACACCTTTAGATGTTGTTTTGCGCTTTTTACGCCAGATTGTACTACGCAATTCTTAAAATTGGTTTTGCTTCGTTTTAAATATATTAATATGTTATTCCTTATTATATTACTACTCAAATATTAGAGCAATTGTTGATTAAATTGATGTCCATTTCTGCAATTGTTGTTATATCACTAAGGATCTACTCTGATCCGGTAAATAGCATCTAATTTTATGATCTATATATTTTTAGGATAGCCTACTTAACTACAGTTGTTCATGAATATATTAGTAACTAAATTAGATACCCTTAACATTTTTCAAATTATTATTTAAATCAAACAAACATTTTTCACTATACAGATATACAAAATAAAAGTAGCTTTTGGTAATGTACAATCATCATTAGATTAGTGTAATTAGGAATGGAGATTTATATTTTTATGAATGGAAAGAAAACACATTTGAAATAAAAACACTTTACTTACAAAGTGTATCTCTCACCATTGGACATGCAATCAGATTATAAACACATTGAGTTGTAGAGTTCTTGAAATCTTTTACTTACTCTTAAATTTAGTACTGACGATGACGTTTCTTAGTTGATTGTTTTTTATTTTTTGTTGCTGTTCATTTGTTTTTGCCTGATTAAAAAAACTTCAATATCATTAGACTCTACTATTCTTCTTTGAGCAAATAGCTCAAGACGGTCTAGAGGTAAACGATGAACTTTATGGCGTAATGGCTTAATGTCTTTACTTTCTTAACAGGGTCATTTATTCATATCAAAGCATTTTAAATAGGCCTAGGTAAAATACCTATTTAATTTTCGATTTTAAAAATTCCTTTTCCAAACTCTCAATTTTCATTTAGCCTACATTGTGGTGTTTTATTATTTCAACACAGCTTGCACAACTTTTTTGTTTCCCCGGTAAAGTTTTCTCAATTTTCGTTTTGTAGAACATTCCTCCGCATCACTGTGATAATACTGTGTTCAGTAGACACAAGTTTCATTCAGGGCTCATGAATGTTTAACATTCCCCAAACTCAATAATCATGAAATTAATTCCTTTAAACATCTTCAAAATAAACAAATATAAAAATGATTGAAATCCAAAAATCGTTTCTTTTGCACATTTCAATAAAGACAAAGCATATTTTGTTTGCGAATAAAATATGACTCTTATGTCGGATTGAGCTTTAGTTTTAAAATAGGTAACTGTCATTATATATATAGCTAGCATTTTTTATCTCAGAAAGTAAACTCGTATAAAAACACCGAACAACGTGCACTTACATAAAAGAGAAAATCCTCTTAACACGAAAATAATAAAGTCTAAAATGAAACCTATGTTTATACATACGGAATTAATATTTTTCTTTAAAAGTACCTGTGAAACAAGCTTTCCTCGGGGAAAATCATTAGTATTCTCTGAGCGTATTCTTTGGTCAATGCCATTTATCCAAACAGATTTTTGTGGTCTATTTAATTCCTGTAAAATAGTAATACAGTATCGTAGTTGACTTTGATTTGTAAGCAACATTTATGATTCTCATGTAAACTATTAAATAATTGGTTGTTGTTTTTTTTTTTTTTTTTATCAACAAACCCAAATAAGTTTATCATTAAAAAGGAAAAAAAAAGAAATAAAACATGAAAAAGGATGGCGTTTCATTTATAACTAACACCAAAAAGCAGTTGAAGTAACTTTTAAACAGGCAACTTTTTTACCTAGTGCTAAAAGATATTTTTTATTAACTGACCTGAAAAAGGGGAGTGTTATATCTTAATCTAAAATAATTCTTAAGTGTAATATTATTCCAACTGAATCGGTAGACGCCCGCATTTCATCACTTTCTATGCAACATACAGGCCTAATTGGTTATTTACTATTGTCAAACTGTTCACAATTCATGTTTAGTTCAAAATCATAAAAATCATTATTTAGTACACAAAGATATTTGTGTCATGACGGTAAATACCTCCTCCAAACCAGCGTAAATCGTGTCTGAAAAAGTAAGGTTTGTGCGTTTAGCATGTATCTAGCGGCGAGGCAGCCGCGGCCGGGACTGCAGTGACGTCATCGCGCGCAGTCCGCTCTGTCTGGCCCACCTCCTTTACTCCATACATCTTGGGTTTGTGTTCCAGTTGGTCTATTCGATTCTATGCGCTCAAAATATGTTCGGTATATAGGCCTACCTACATGGCTAGCTCTTAAATGTTCGTTGACATTTTGCTTGCTGTTTATGTAATTTTTGCCACTAACTACTATCCAAGGACTATGAGAATTTTTCCAAAAATGTTATTTTTAATAGTATTTAAGACAGTTTGCAATTGAAATATTTTAATAAGGCCTAGATAGGTTTATAGAAACAGCTTTTCAATTACACAAAATAACACTCTTTCATCTTCATTTTGACTCACTTGCTTTGAAAAGAGCAGTTTGAAAATCACTAACAGGTTGATGTTTAAACGTTTGTTCAAAACTTTTAACAATGTCTATAATCAAAACTAGATAGCCTACCTACAATAACATATTTAAATGTTAAGTATTTTTCTTAGTCTATGTAGTGTGTACCAGTATAACAAAAATGTCATTGAAATCCAGGATGGTTTGGTTGGATAAAACGACATCTGTGTTGTGTTACTTGTGTTGATGTGGAATCACAAATTTAATCAAACCATTGGGTTTCCAACATTTAAAAATCTTATTTGAAACACCTTTTAGGCAAAGGCATGAAAAAATTGTAGGCTATAGCGTTTATAATGTTAACATCCCATTGGAGCGAGCTGGTCTAGTGGTAAGATAGAGTGCGGGACTTTGGTCCAGAGGTTTCAGGTTCAAATCCCGCCAAATCACCAATTTGGCTTTTTAAGTGATAATCCTGCAACCCCTAGGCCTAGCCTGAAGTAGGGTGACTAACAATCCTGGACTAGAGTCTAACGACCTAGGGCATAAAAAAGGGGGAAAATTCCCAATAACATGTTGCCTACCTTTGATCGCAGTAATCTCCTCAGGGGACACCTTCACTAAAGGGTACGGAGCTTGCTGCACTCTTCTAATGCTTCTCACGAACCCTGTGTTGTTGCGTACTTGGGTGAGGTTACAGAAGTTGATGATGTAGGGAAACCCTAGATAAGTCTTGCTGACATCTATCGTCTGGTCACCCTGCGGAGGCAAGTTTAATTATAATTAACGAGGATGTTTGTAAAGAAATCCTGATGCTTAAGTTACAAGTTAAGTAGGTACTGTATTGAAACATTAATTAGGAATCGTACAAGCTCTAGGACTACGGCTCACCTTGGCCCAAGCAGCTTCTATGAGTGACTGCACCTCCATGTCGTAGGTGTGCCATTCTCCAGGCGAATCTCCGGCCCACTCCCACCTCACTCCCTTACCAGCAGGAGAGTCTGGCGGATAACACATTCTACGGACCCTGTGTGGTCCACCTGCAGCAGAAATTAAACATTAACTTGAGCGGCAGTATCCTAAGCCTGAGAGATCTTAAGTAGGTAGGCCTAAGGGGATAAAACCTTTAAATAAATATACTACTGCCACAGTACCTAGTAAACTTAAATTAAGTTAGCTTGATTCTTGCTAACTTAAACTAGTGTAGGCCTAAATTACAAAATGCCCAAAATGTTATACTGAACTAACCAAACCTAACACATCTTCTGTAACGTTTCAAATAATCTAACTTAGGCTGCCGTTTGATAAGCAGAAAAGGTACCGGTATGTGAGGAAGATAGGTGATAAGCTTAAGTGGGTTTATGTTAAGTTATATTAACTTAATGTGCGTGTTGGACACAATATGAAACCACAATTTGTATAAAATGTTAGAATTGTTTTAATCATCATTGACTAATCTATGATTTAAGTTATTAGGCCTACCAATTTAGGCCTAACATCAATTTTTTTCAACAAGCCTAAAGTACCGGTAACCGAGTGAAAAACTAGCTAACTTTACTTACACTTCAGCTTAAACACCATTTATTTCACAGGCATCTATATATTAATTTGAAACTGTTTTTCTTTGTGACAGCTAATTTGAGAGAACGGCTGGGCGTAGAAACTCGGAAGAAGTGTCTAAAGAAAGGTCTTGGTCTGTAGATGAGCCATCAAAAGAGAAACGTGGTAAATTCCTTCGGGGCTCTGCCCCAGTGGCCTTTAAATTCCCATCCCATGTTATTCTTATGGAGGAAAAACGGGGTTTTGTCACAGCTAATTTGAGAGAACGGCTGAGTGTAGAAACTTGGTAGGGGTGTCTAAAGAAACGTATTGGTCTGTAGGTGAGCCCTCAAAAGAGAAACGAGGTAAATTTCCTTGGGGCTCTGCCCCAGAGGCCTTTAAAGTTCACTCCTGAGCAGTTTTGTTTACATTACGACCATATGGATAATTTTACACTACTTTTAATGAACCAGCTGTTAATATTAAAATTGTATTCAAAGGTCTACTGAAACTGTCAAAATTAAATGTTTACACATTATTATTTATGATTTAAAATTGATTCTCCACTGCATGGCAAGTTTTTATGGTTTCAACAAAATGATGAATTTATGATACGTTTTAAATGTTTTGTTAAAAAATCTATGCTTTATTGCTCTTAACAAATTTGAAATTTTGAAATCAGTGTGACATATCAGTTTCAAAGGAACCTATAATTATTCCTCGGGTTAGCTTAAATACATATTGTAAGGTTCAAGAATATTATTGAATTCAAGAAAGAAGACCAGAAATTCATTCATTGGTTTAAAAGTTTTCGATGATCGGGTTGAAAATTGTGTCATAGATGAGTAGGCTAGGTACCGTACATTGAGAATGAGAGCTGTGTTCAAGTTTTGGAATAGACTTACTACCTACGGAGTATGTTTCATCTATGGTTTTGGTGAAGTACGGTAGGTAAATTAATGTCAATTCAGGTATTTAAAAAAATGTGTACATGGTTTTTACTTTGATGTACACATCTAGCTAGGTCGAACAACGCCTCTAAACCTCACTACATACAACAAATTCTGAAACACAACAGTGCCATCACATCTCATCGCATTTGCATCATTTGTTAGGTACCAAGGCTGGACTAGGTTATGGATTTGGTTCTGCAAATGTTCAAGATTTGTGGGCAAATTTCCTACAATTATGGTTCATTCCATCCACGAAATACATGCACAGCTTTATGTAATCGATATGGCCAAGTCAAAACGACCCCATAAGTTAATCAATTAGCAAGTAAGTACAGGATGATTAAATACACGGGTCCATGTGGCAAGAGAAGGAGTTAAAATTGCTTGGATCGAAGTAAGAATGTTACTGCTTTCTGGATAATCAGATATTTTTAACGAATAAAAAAACTGATTTAATATGCTAATAAAATTCTGTATGTTTAGGCCTATAACCGAAGATGAAGATTCACTTATAAATCCGAATACAATCTGAATGATTTTCCTAAAGCAGATGGAATTAGTCGTTAGTAATATTGCCTCTTTCCGTAACATGATAGACTAATTATATGAACTCCTTCTCCCATGTAGTGAAAGTGACTTTGACATGAAACAAACTCATGAACAAACATTTGTAAGAATTCTAAAAAACCTTTTGGGCAACCTAAAGCCGATAAAAAGGTAGGAAATATTGTGTTAAACGAATTCATCAATCACGTTTTTTAGGGAACCCAATCGTCATACTTATTATTATGCTTATCCTCCCTCATTTAACTAAGATTTTAATAACTTCACTCTATCTATCGCAGTTAGCTAAATTTACATAAAACATCAAGATTAACCGTCGATTTCGACGGGGTTCCACTAGTAGTCTTTTATTCTTATCTTACAGGCTGATAACATGATGGCAACTAGGCATATACTTAATCATCCAAGCAAAAAACAGATAGAGTCGCTTTATTACAAAAACATAGCCTAGGCCTAGAACCACATTTGAAATTGTACATAGCCTAAGTTAGACTACGCCTTGGCCTACCTGTTTCTGTTTCTTCTGAACATTGGTGCTTTGTCCTCAAATTGATGTAGTATTTATCTAATAAAGGGTCTGCATCACTAAGCATTACTCTGGTAAGTCTTTTAACATTTGCTCTTTCAAGCAACTGAGATACTTCAGGACTGTATGGTCTCCATCTACATTGCCTATTCTCCCATTCCCAAACAACCACTGCATGGCCAGTTGTCATTTTCGGTTGTTTTAGCTTCTGGATACAATTTATACTAATCACATCAAGAAAATCGTCTTCTCAATACATTTCCACTCTGTAATCCTCTTTAGTGGACCTAGCCCAAGCATACTAACTTAGGACAAACTTAATGAAATATCACACAAAACAAGCTCACACACCAGTAACACAATTCTTTGATAAAACAAGAATAATATATTTAAACACCGTGAAAACTACATCATTCTAAGCCTATCACAGACAAAAAACACACATCAGGCGCATTCAAATCAGTTAGAAAACGACGAACACAAACGAAGCCGACCATCATTAAATCTCGAAGCGTGGGAAAATTTTGGTTCTGTTTACAAATTCTTTATTCAACAACCCATAATTCACTTGCTCTTGCAGAACTCTAGATCTAGACAAGACGCCAAACGCCAAACAGCTTTCAGTCATCATCAGGTGTTTGTTTTTTTTCTTCATCTGTCTGTGGGACAGACTACAAAAAAAGTATTTTGGCTTATTCACTAAAATCATTGATCATAGAACAATTGTGTATAACTAAGTGCTCAAGAGATGTTGAAATAATAAAATAACAGCAATTAATTGTATTTATTACAAATAAAAACTAAAGAAAATATGAAATACCCCCGCCGCAGCAAACCTGCAGACTAAGCGAATTTCCATTTGCCTGATTGGATTTACACTAAAATGTCTCCTTAAAAATATCACATTTATTCCCTATTTAAATAGAATCAGTTTAACACATACTTAGGTTTGCTGCAACAGGGAGGGTAAAAGTGTTTTTTATGTAAAATGTTAATAGTTAGTAAGAAATAAAAACATTTTCTAAATTTGGGCAAAAAATGTTAATAAACAAGCAAACTACAACAGTTTACTACTTATTCTAACTACTTATTATAACATGGGAATTTTAAATTTACAATTTTTTGAAATTTTCTCCGTAACCATTAGGTGCATTATAACGCTTTATATACTAAATTATTTGTTTTTTTAAGCTCTACAAAATAGTTTGGAAAGAAATTGCAAAATTTTATGTTTTTTGAGTCAAAAGTGGGAAAAACCCATTTTTACCCCATAAAACCCCCCATAAACCCCCGTTCCCATGGTCCGATCATGCTGGTTCGCGAACTCGTTCGAATAAACGTAGGTTTACACGTTTGTACCAAATTTCATCAAAATCGGATCGTTTTTGCTCGAGTTATCGCGCTAACGGACACATATATATATGAATTTGAACGGATGGTGTTTTTGGCCTCTAGGGACCTCAAAACAAAAAAAAATCGGTCCCGGGTCCAGGTCTTACCATGAGTACTACGGTAATAGCTTATTCCCTATATGGGAAATTCGCTAAAAGGCTCATTTAATCTTTGATTTCCAAACAAATAAACAGCTAAAGACAACAACCAAATGCAGTTGTCCTACTTATACACATGCCGGATTAAACAAGCAATATACATAGGATTTTACCAAAAAAGTATATTTTTAGCATAGATAAAACATAAAAATGTTTTATCTTTTTTTTTTGTCAGAATCTTGAGTTCATTAGGAGACACTAGAAATCTACAGCTTTGAATCATGAGTCCACATCTGGTTTTGGTCGGTCCACAAGGGGTCACTTGTTGGAGAAAATTGTTTATTGTTACAATCTATTGTTGAAAAATATATAAAACAAATGTAACTAAGAAAATATTAAAAGTGTTGCCGGTATTTTAAAAATAAAGTTATAAAATACAGTAGTTGTAACGAATAGTAATGGCAATCTCTATCTGCAATTTCGGTCGTATAGACTCGGTGACTCCATATGGACTCACGATTTATTTGAAGCCTGAAAGAGGAATTGAATAATAATTGTCACAAATGTGGTTAATAATTACTCTTTTTAAGCTCAAGTCAAGGGTCAAAAATGGGAAAAGGCTATTTTTAATCCATAAACCACGTGGGCCACAAGATGATCATGCTGGTTCGGGCACTCGTTATATTAAAAGTTTACTATATGACCTTTAAAATGAGGACTCACAACGGGTCTTTACATTTAAAATTTTTGAGTTGCCTATCTTATCTACCCTAAAAGGGGGGAGGGCCCAACCATTTTGATTTCTTGCAAAAAGCTAGACAAGTTATCATATTGTGATAAATTGAAGCTCCAAAATTCTGTTTAAATTAAATTTGGAGGTGTTCAGACTTTTTCAACACCCTACATAAGTTATAAATTGAATTTGAACAGATGGGGTGTTCTTGGCCTGGATGTTCTTTAGTGTGGCCTTGCCTGGATAGGTACCTCAAAATTAAAAAGTAAATTGTTCCCGGGGCCAAGTCTTATGGGTGGTTCCATATGATTGTGGAAACACAAAGGATGGTAAGGTTTTTTGTTTTTTTTTTTGCCCTAGGACGCTAGGCAGGAGCCTGGGATTGTTTTCACATTACTTCAGGCTAGACCTAGGGGTTGCAACATTATCACTTAGATAAAATCCATTGGTGATTTGGCGGGATTTGAACCCGTGACCTCTTGGACCAAAGCCCGCGCTCTAATAACCACTAGACCAGCTCGCTCCCCGATGGTAAGGTTTAGAGTTTATACTAAGTGAATAGACATGGTATGTTATATCTGCAATAGTGAAACGGTTAGAGAATAAGTGAAAGTCTAGTAAACCATTTTTAGACTCCATTCAATAGAATGGAGAAAAGTGAAATGAAACCTTCAATGACTTACCAGTCAGGTGCAAATCAAAGAGAATTGTTGAATATATGATTGAATGGTTTGAGACTGAAACTTTTGACTATATGAATATACTCTCATAGCATACTGAATTCAATAGGGATTGTTTTGTTTAAAGTAAAATGGCCATATACCAACTAAATTTTTACCAAAATCATTTTAGCCGTTTAAACACATTTACATTGTTTTATGTGGTTTTATGGGAATCTCACCATTAAAATAATAAATTCATCAAATTAAAAAAAACACAGTGTGATACCATGTACTCCCATTTCAAATGTCATTGGAAATCGGACCACAGGTGTGGTCTGTAGCTCTGGTACACATAAATATTTTGTAAGATATATTTGCAAGCAATCCTGCTGCAACTAGGATATTAATTTTGATAAAAATTCTTCAAAATTAAAATTAATTCTTTTACATACATCCATGGGTGTTTGGTGTTCTCACGTTTTAACTAGGTACTAAATAACTTTTCATATGAGGGGGGGCCGGGGGTGTGGAAATGTCCTCCCAGTAAAGAGGCAGGTTGAAGGTTCAAAGATCCTTCCACGAAACGTTTCAAATTTAGGTGTTAAATAGTTCATTTAACTTTTTTTTATTTTTTAAACTAGAAATCAATTTAATATAGATTACAAGACAAATAAATCTAAATTTACAGATATTACTAAAAATATTGATTCTTTCAATAAATATGTTGGATGCCTGCATAAGTTTTATAAGATTTATAAGTTCATTTAACTTATTTTTGTACATTTTCTTTGCCAATTAATTTTTAAGGTTTTACTGAAAATTTTGAAAAAATATTATTAACGTGGCCTTATATTAAATACAGCTTTTACCCTTGCTTTCCTCACCTTCCGCAACGCCATCTGAATTATCCATGAGGAAATATGAAATAAGGTCAAGTCTTCTTAGATTAACTACTTATCCACTTATCCTCTAAGAATTGGCTATGAATTTAGTATTTAATTTTGCACTACCTTGACCAAAAGACAAGATTTTGGGTGTTTTTCTTGTTTGTCCTTGAAATTGTGAAAGCCAAATGTTTGTTTACTTGTTGTGACCATGTCAGTGAATAAGAAGTTTGAGATGACATCATATTTTAAATTTGGTTTCCTCAATTTTGCGTTTTAATAGTTTCAATGGATATTGAAACTCATTGGAAAGTAAATTATTGTAAAATAATAATTATATTAGGAAATATTCTATTTTTATGAGCTTTTGTGAGGCATAACATTCTGTTGTCAGAGATATAAAGTAATTTTAATCCTTTTAATTCTACAAATTTTCTTATTTGCTCCATCTCTTTATGCTGATTAGTTGGCAAAACATGCCAGATGATTGATTATAATGTAATGTTTTTTTAGCGTTGATTAAAACTTAAAACTAAAAAATCTTTATCCTTAAAGTAGCCACAACAATTATGAAGAGTTTTAAACAGTGCTTTATATGTAAAAAATGAGGTGCCAGAACTGTGACCTATTTATGCCAATATTTTATCTTTCCCAAAGAGAGGTACTGGAACTCCATTCCGCCACATTCCCCTGCAAATCAAGCACTGGATTTAACTATCTTAAACCAGTACCGTTGTTGGAATTTAATTATTTCAGCAGGTTCTTAGATAACTACAAAACAATTATTAACAACATGAATTTATTGTCTGGGTACCTGAGTATTTGTAGTGTCTTCAAATCTGAAGGTTGCCGGTTCAGTCCCCTGCAGATTAAAATCTTAACCTAGATTCCATTTTTTTCATTGGGATGACAATGAATGACGTTATCAAAAAAGCTCAGCGGCATTAGAAAAAAGACAAACTTTTGTTCAGCCAATTTTTTTTTTTTTATAAAAGAAATATTTTTAGCAATTACATACACAAAAACACTTACTTAAAATGGAATTATAAATTTTAAAAGAATTATATTTTTGATTAACATAGGTCTTAACACAATATAACCATTTAAATAATGATTATAGAATGGTTATAAATTATTGATGAATGTGAATAAATACTTGGGTAGGTTTTGTGCTGTAATATTTTCATTCATTCTTTCTGTTTGTATTTCTAGATATCTAGGACTTCCAGGTTCCAATAATAGTTCAAGTTAAAATTAAATTATCACAACTCATTGTTGACTACATGTTTTAGGACCAATTCAATAGTGATACTTTTGTGAATAGAATAAAAAAATATTTATACTTTTTTACAACTCTTTCCTTCAAGAATTATTCCTAGAGTGTCTACTAGGATTTAGGATTGCCGGGTGTTACAAAACACTTAAGAGGATGTGGAGAATACTTTC